AGGTAGGATGGTACAAGACTGAAAATCAACAGCCCAAGGTTTATTACTGAGACAGAAGGTCCAACCTTCTAACCAGTTTGGACACCAAGTGCACCTTCCATGACATTCTCTTCTGGACTTAGTCACTCATTGCAGTGGCCACACAAAACTCAGGGACAATACTCACAATTAGGGGTTACGAGGGAAATGGTGGTGGGTGATGGTGTGCCGTGAGGTTGGTTCTGACTCATGGTGACCCTGCGCAGGGTTTCCGAGGCTGTAAATCTTTATGGGAGCAGAAAACCTCATCTTTCTCCCACGGAACGGCTGGTAGTTTCGAACTGCTGATCTTGAGGTTAGCAGCCCGACTCATAACCACTATGTTACCAAAGCTCTGTTAGGGCAATAACAGGTTACATTTCAGGTTCAGAAGGGACTCTGGACACAGTTCTTTGGTCAGGACAGCCTCTTCTTAGTGCCCACAGGCTGGCCTCTACCTGGCCATTGACCTCTCAGCCCTGAGGCCTTGTGTATCTGTCCTGCTTGGACAAGTGTTGCAAAGCTCTTTTAGCGCTGCTGACTCGTGCTCAGAGGTACCCCAACCACCAGCAAGCCTCCTGCCCAAAGGCGCTCAACTGCCTCGCTCTGTGGACCCAGAAGCCCACAGTGTCTTCTCCTGCTAACATCCTGCCACACTCCTGGTTCTGACACTGCTTCCTGCCACCCCTCACGTCTCACAGGGCGTGACAGCTCTGTCTTACAGTCTTTTGGGTTGAGGAGGTTCTCAGCACAGTGATTCCAGGTCCAAATGACACTCCTCTCTTGGCTCTTCTTACCAGTGATTGTGAGATCCCCCCTTTCCATGTCTGGGACGGCTCGTAACTGCCTAATCCCCTGGTAAGGTTTCCATAGAATTGATTTGCTGAGTCGCATCCAGTCATGTGGTGGGAGTAAAGACTATGGCTCTAAGAGTCATATTAAATTATTCACTATACCACACATAGGAATTACGTAGGTAAATGAAGGCAGAGTGTCGGTGAAACTATGGAGGTAGACTCGGGTGTTTATTGGATGGTAAAATGAGTCTGGCTAGACTGGTAGGGAGGGGCTTGGCCAAGCCCCAACAGTAGAACGTCTGGAAAGTTAGCTGCAGCAGTGAGGTGAGTCATGGTGTGATGGTCACGCTGACGGTAATGAAGACTACTGCCTACATTGTGCAGGGAGTGTCCCGCCATGTCGAGGCTTCCAGACACCGTCTCTTTTAATCATCTCAGTAGCCCTACGATGTGAGAGTATGTCATAGTGGCACTTTAAAATAAAACAAAACACAAGAGCAGGCAATTTGCCTAAGGTTGCTTAGCAACTGATTTGGGCTATCTATTGCTTCATCACACACTGTCTCAAAACTTGGTTTACTACCATCATCATTTTATTTACTTGTTCTTGGTTTTGAGGGTCATGAATTCAGAAAGGGCTCAGCAGGGTAGTTTTTTGGCACTGACTGGGGTTGTTTACTAGGCTGTATCCATTGGTGGCTGGGCTGGACTAGAATGTCCAACAGGGCGTCATTCACGTATCTGGCATCTCAGACTCTTCAGGCAGCAGCCTTCTCCCTTCTACTGTCCATCCTTTCGCCTCCTCTTCCCTTCCTGTCCCTCCTTTTCTTCCTCTGGAAAAGTACCTGAGCTTCTTCACAGCATGGTAGTCTTAGGGTTGTAGAATTTCTCTCATGACGACAGATTTCCAAGAGGGAGCTTCCAAGTAGGGAGGCTAGAAGCTGCATATTTTTTAAAGTCCAACTTTAGAAGGCATACATCATCCCTTCTACTGCATTCTGTTGGTCAAAACAGGTCACAAGTCCAGAGGAAACTCAACAATGACTCAGTGAGAGGAATGACAGAGAATGAACCACCATCTTTAATCCTCCATCTTTCATCTTTACAGGCTTGGGTAAAACTTGGTAGACAGCCCTGTGTGAGTCCAAAGTTTGTGTTTTTAACTACTGCCTTTTCTGTTACTTGTCTGATTGGTGGTGGTGATTATGTGCCGTAGAGTCTGTTCTGACTCATAGCGACCCTGTAAAGGGTTTCCGAGGCTATAAATCTTTACAGGAGTAGAAAGCCTCATCTTTCTCCCACAGAACAGCTGGTAGTTTCGAACTGCTGACCGTGAGATTAGCATTCTGATTCATAACCACTATGCTACCAGAGCTCCTTACTTGCCTGATTAATTGTAGATTATTTCAGCTGGAATTCCTTTGCTTACCTCAAACTAAATATGTACAAGATGAAGCACACAGCCTCTCTCTGAACTTCAGCTACCTCAGTTTGATTGGAGGTGCCAATGTTCTTTCTAGATCCCAAACTCCAGACATTTCTGATTCTTGAAACATGCCTCCAGTATTCCTTTGTAAAACATTTCAGGGGCATCTTTTTCTTAGAAAAATCCCCTCTCCCTCCCCTGCCATGGTTCTGCATTTATTCACATCTGCTCCGTAAACTCACTTCAACTCACAGCTACCGGAACACGGTTTTTGCTATGTTCCTGCTCTGGCAAGTCCAGACACCTCAGTATGCCCTCAGTGACCCATGTAAGTCACTGTTTAAGTCACTAGTTTGCTTGTTTGTTTTTTACTATTCCCCAAGTCCTCATAGGTCCAGATGGGAATGTCTTGCCCCCCCCCTCTTGTTGTTGTTGTTAGGTGCCATCGAGTCGGTACCGATCCATAGCGACCTTATGCACAGCAGAACGAAACATGGCCCAATCCTGGGCCAACCTCACTACTGTTGCCACGCTTGAGTCCATCGATGCTGCCACTTGGCCAATCCATCTCGCTGGGCGTCTTCCTCTTTTTCTCTGACCCCCCCTTACCTGTACACATATTCTCTTGCTAAGCTCTATCCCTTTCCCCAGTAATATCCTCTGCCTATTGCAGTCCAGGAGGTCTGGGGTGGCACTGTGGGTTAAAGCACTGGACTGAAAAGTCAGTATGAGCCAGAAGGTTGGCAGTTCAAGCTCAACAGTCGCTCCTCGGAAATGTTACAGGATTGCTATGGATCTGAATTGACTTGATGGCACTTAAACACCACCACAACAACAACATTGCAGTCCAACCCATTTCCATTTTCTTCTCTTCCACAAATCCATGTCTGACTGTTCGAACCTACTGGCATCAAGCTATTGCTACCTCGAATTCTGTGATACTTTAAACTATTACCATGGAGTTTCATGCTTCGTTCTTTTCGCAGATACTGTTCATCTCTCAATAAGATCATAAATATCGAAAGATCAGAAGCTCCTTACATCCCCTAATGCAATTTGAGCTCAAAATAGTTGCCTGATAAATACAGCCTGATTGGCAAGCTTTATTTATTGATTATAGACATTTGGAAATGTAGAGGGTCGAAGATGAAAATAGGTACAGAGAAGAATGAGAGGTACTGAGAGTTTGTTCAGGAACGTAAACAGTTCCGTGGACACTACACAATCAATACACCTGTATTCTTTGATGCAATGATGAAATGCCCAGATGCTAACTAAAAGGTTGGTGGTTTGAACTCACCTGAGACTCTGGGGGAAAAGACCTAGTCATGTGCCCCCATAAAGCCTAGGAAACCCTATGGGGCAGTTCTACTCTGTCAAACGGGGTTGCTATGAGTTGAAAATCAACTCTGTGGCGCTTAACAACAAGGATGCCACCAAATTTCTCGTACTACTGTTTAAATCATAATAAAAATGAAAGCTTGAAGCTCTCACTGTCCAACGCGGTATGTAAACTATGCCATTTGGAAGTGTCCTGTGGAGCTTTAGGCAGCAGATGTGCACTGGTAACTCTCTGCAAAATGCCTGGGCAGACCCCAAAAGTATGTGGGTGCATGTTCTCACACTGTGGGTGCCAGTCCTGGGAAATCAGCACTTACTATAACATATTTCCCAATGGTCTTTCAGCATCCCCATTTACACTCTGACATAGAACATAAATACCAGAGAGACAAGAATGCGAGGTCAAAATTCTTCTGAGCCAATGCCTAAAACTTGAGCTCAATTTTTAGAAAATATTAGAAATATATTAGAGTACTTACCATATGAAAGATCATCTATTTTTACGGTTTATGAACGAAATGGACCATGCCTAATTCTGTAGTTTTATTCACCAAAGAGTCACACATAATAAGGAACAACTCCTTCTAGGATGTTTACAAGGTGTAACATTGGAAAGAACTATAAAATGCCCACAAAAGAAATGGCTCTGTAAGTAGTTGGCACATGTACCTGAATGGTGCATTATGCAAATACATGAAAGAATGGCTGTACCCTCTAGACGCATCCTGACTCACAGAGACCCGATAGGACAGGGTAGAATTACCCTACAGGGCTTCCCAGGCTGAGAGTCTTTGCAGAATCCAACTGCCACATAGTTCTCTTACAGAGCGCTGGAGGGCTGAAACCATCAAACTTTTAGTTTACAACGAAGGGCTTTAACCACAGGGCCCCCTACATGGCTTATAAAACCATTTCTTTTACAGCGTTAGAAAAAAGCAAGCTTGTCTATTCAATATGGTCCCAATTATGTATAAAAAAAAAACATTTAAAATAAAATTTGGAAGGAAACATGTCAAAATATTCTGGTGGTTGCCCAATGCTAGTAAAAGGATGGATGATGTTTTTAATTCTTCACACTCTTTTTGTGTGTTCCATGTATTTTCTTCAGTAAGCATGTGTTGCTTTCTAAATAAAGAAGACTGTCAACTTGAACTGAAATGTCACTGTTGTTGACTGCCTTTGAGTTGGCCCCCGATTTATAGGGACTCCGTACACAATGGAATCGAATCGTTGTGACCTCTAGAGCTTCCACTGGCTGATTTTAAGAAGTACTGGAGCCTTCTTAATGTGACTTAGTCTGCAAGTACAACGAAACCTGTTTAGCATCAGAAATACATGCTGTTTATTAAAAATTCTAACTCACAATATTGATCTACTATTGAACAGAGTTAAGTAACCCCCTTTGCATTTCTCTCTAGGTGGACGTGGACAAGATGGATGTCCTGTTATCACCTTTCCAGACTACCCGGCTTTCAGCGACATCCCAGACAAGGAGTTCCAGAATGTCATGACCTATCTGACTAGCATTCCCAGGTGTGTTGTTGCTCAGAAGACAGAGTGCATGCCCAGCTCTGTTGTTCTCTTTGGAACCACTTAACACCATCTTACTAAGCTCACCCAGCAGCTTGACGATGCTGCTAACCTTTTGTAAGCTCTGGAGATGGTGACTTACAGAAACTAAGAGACTTGCCTGAGATTCCACAGTGAATAAGTGGGGGATTTGGGATCAGAATCTAGTTTTCCCAGTTCCCAAACTGTCATCTTTCCCCACCGTGTCCCCGCCCCATGCTCTGATGTGCAGGAGAGATGTTTTCTTCCCATCTCCTGTACCATCTGTCAAGTTTGTTGTACAAGAAAGGGATCTTGCTGAGACTCCAGAAATAGTTTTCCCCTCTTGTAAGATGTTAATATCTTCACATTAGAGAAATCAAGGTCTCCAGTGGGGTGGTGGCTTTATTTACTAACTGAGGGAAGGCGATTGCACAGGTGTATCTGAAGTTGGATTGATCTAGAGCTCAGTGTATAAGCCTGACATGTGCAGTGGACGGAGTTTTGTCCATTTGGGGAGGAAATTGGGCCAGAGGGTGAGACCTAGGTTAGTTAGTACCAAAGGTAGTGGAGACAGTGCAGCCTCCGCCTGCTCTTTCTGACCTGAGAAACCATTGTTGTGGTTGTCAAGCGCCGTCAAGTCGGTTCTGACTTATAGCAACCCTCTATAGGGTTTCCAGGGATTGGCTAGTGAATTTGAACCGCCGACCTTGTGCCAAAGTTGTCAAAGACTTCATTCATTTTGCTCAGATCAACCATTAACATTTATGGAAGCAGCAGTCAAGAAAACAAACAATGTATTGCATTAGGCAAATCTGCGCAAGACCTCTTTAAAGTGTTGAAGAGCAAAGACGTCAGTGTGAGGACTTAAGGTGCACTTGACTCAAGCCATGGCATTTTCCAGTCACCTCATATGCCTGTGAAAGTTGGGCAGTGAATAAGGAAGACCGTAGAAAAGTTGATGCTTTTTGAGCTATGGTATTGGAGGAGAATATTAAAAGTACCAGTGCATAATGCCACCCATTTTATAAAACTGTGTAGAGTGTCTCCCTTACCCTTCAGTAAAGCAGTGTCTTCTGTTTAGCATATAGTGAATGATGCATGAAATAAAACCAAGAATACCCTTGAGGTGACATTTTTGTTCCTTCTACTGCAGGAAGTAGGTAGCCATGAGACCCGTAACCAACAAAGTCACAAGTGCAACGTCGGTTGTTCTTTATTAATGTTCTCCCTCATTCCCATCTTTATTTGTAGAACAACCAGTTAGAGAATTTTGATAGTTTAAAGCTGACTGCTTACAGGTATGAGAGATACAGTGAGTTCTACCCCCAGTGATTCGTCCTTTCCTGAAAGGAATGTGGTCTGACCTAGAAAACAGGCTAAAACATCCAATTTGATCATCAGAGATATGTCAGATAGTAACAACCAACTTAGTAATCACCAGTTACCAGCAATTATTGCTTTGAGGAGAAGGGGTGAGTCATAGCTTTTGTTAGCAGACTGGCCGGTTAAGAGACGGAAGTCAGTTCAGCTCGGGGAAGCATTTCTGAGGGACGTGAATCTTGAGAAGTAATTTGATAGAAAATTTGAAATGGAAATTGATCACTTACCCTGGGGTGACTTGTAAAAGGTTCAGAAACAGTCCTGAAAGTAGTAAGGTACAGTTGTGCTTAATGTTGTAGCTGGTACTCATGCAGCAATCCTGCATGCATGGAGTGTTTTGGAACCTCCCACGTACCAAGCGCTGTGCTAGTTGAGTGAATGAATGAAGAGCGGAGTGGTGGGCGGCATGCACCTTGGGGTGGAATTCTAGTACCGTTTGTTCGTGCTTACCTGACAACCCACTCCAGAAGATGTCAAGTGCTTCATGGATGGGAACAGCTGTGATAATTACAAAGCAACTTCACAGCGTTCTCATTTCAGCCTCAAAATCCCACTGAAGCAGGAAGGTAGCTGCTACACCCATTTTAAAGATGAGGTCGCTGGCTCTCAGGGAGATGAGGTTACCTGGGTAAGATCATACATCTAGAATGTAGCCAGCTAAGGCTTGAGGAATGTCTGAAGTGTCAGATCACCACCCACCTGTACTTTAGAGAACATCTGCTCCAGGTATGGTGTACCTAGCACAGAGGATGTGTGCTTGGGAAAATGGTACTAAAGGGATACCAAGATGATCAAGGCTTAGAAGGCAAGGTCTCCACCGCTGTAGTCACACACAGCAACTGGCTCATGAACGTGGCGCCTTGATGGTCTGGAACTGCATTAGGCAAAATGCTTTTGAACTATGGTATTTCATCCAATGAAAAGCAAATGGCAATTACTTGAGCATGAACTAACGAAACCCTGGCAGTGGTTCTAGAGAGGAATTCCTAAGTTCTAGTGGTACTTAAAATAAAAGGGAGAGAAAGACTGGGAAATGACTGGACTTGGCTGCTGGCCTTAGGAGCACTGTGTGTTGTGTCTCCTTTGGTCTTGGTGTTGCTACAGAGAACTCTTGCTTAACGTGTGCTCTCTAGAGCCCCAGAGCCGCTTCTAGAATAACCATCTTTCCAGCTACTGGCAGCGCGCAGCCAGAGTGTCTCAGCGGACCAGGTGCTGCAGACAGAGAATAACAGGGTTCCCCTCTGGAGTCTTGGCACCATGCACCCTTCAAGGTCGTGCCCTTTCTTCAACCTCACTTCTCCAAAAGGGTGGATTTTCTGTGGTAAATAGTGTCACCTTGCATTTGGATCATGAACTGAAAATAGCTCCGGTATTTCGAAAAATCAGGTGGAATACCAAATTTCATCCTTCCCAAGCAGTTTCCTTGGAGACACTGAAGTGACGATGGTACTGCTCTTAAAGTTCTCAGATTTTGTCTGTGGCTTGGTACAGGAGAAAGAAACACACCAGTCTGGGCAATGAGGGGTTGGACTTGTTCTCAGCTGGCTCCCCAATGCTGCCTACTGATTCCTTGCACACAGTTGGGGGGAAAAAAAAGGGAGGGGGTCGCCGTTGAGTAGACTTCAACTCAAGGCAACTTCATGTGGGTCAGAGTTGAATTGGGTTCCATAGGGGTTTTTTGTTGTTGTTGTTTTATTGTGAACTATGTGATAGTTTACATGGGAGAACATTAGTTTTACATTC